GATCAATAATACAAGTTACCTTTTGTTTGGAGTTTCAGCAAAACATTTTAGTGAAGACGTTTCCACTACGGTCTCACAGAACGACACAACTGGGTCAGCCACTTTGATGTCTAGAAATATAAATAATACAATTGATTATTTCTGAACATTTCCTCAGGTTGGTTAGTACGAATTGTAGAAAGGCTAGTATGTATTACAGCCAAGTGTTTAATGTGACGTTTTGGTGACTTGTACGATATGTACCCTGTCATCTTCATCAGACAAATGACCAGTGAAGCTTATGTACACAAAGGTGTAAAATATATACAAGTTGGTGATATACAATCGAAGTCGTTTCAGATTCGCTCTAAGCATATGTACACATAGTTGTCACACATGTACGAAAAGACAAGTTATACCAACAATTTGATTTGGCTAGGCTCGTTAACAATTGATTGGATAACTAAGACTGACAACACGTAACAATCTGGAGTAAAACAAGGTTTTTAAATTGATAAAATACAATCATCAAGTACATCATAGCTGCTTTAAATTTGTGAGCTCCAGGGTCAAGTAGAATGTTAACTCGAGTAGATCTATACATGGTAAATTGTTATCTTTGAAAGGGGCATAGTTATGTCAACAAAATGGTTGTTCAGATTTCTCATTTTCACCTTTTTATATAAAATAACATCTTGGAACACGTGCCAGTCTATCTAATATGGACACATACATTGAACTTTCAATAATGTTTCTGCATAAAAACCACAAATTACATATCCATGTTTATGGTACTTACCGATTTCGGAGTACATTTTCCTGAGATCATGCATCACACAGTCCAGGTAAAGTTCACCTGTACCGAGGATGATGTGTTCACCAGATTCCTCAACCTGTCAACAGTCACACTTCAATGTGTTAAAACTTTTCCTTTATCTCTATTCAAATTGCATGCAAAAGAAAAGCAGTTTTAACAGGATCAAAAGAATGACAACCATATTATATATTCAAAACATCTGATAGATCCTCAAATAACATCGTCATACCTTAGTATTCAAAAGAGGATAACTCTTGTTGACCTTTCGTAATCCATCCAACATTTTGGGTAGTTCTGACGGGTTTACCGGTTCTACTGCGATCTTCATCACTGAGTTTGTGTTAAACTTTAAAGGCCGGAAAATGTGAACCTGTAATATACAACAATACCTATAGCTGTAAGTCTGATATACTCCTGTGAACCTGTAATATACAACACTACCTATAGCTGTAAGCCTGATATACTCCTGTGAACCTGTACTATACAACAATACCTATAGCTGTAAGTCTGATATACACCTCTGAACCTGTTATATACAACAATACCTATAGCTGTAAGTCTGATATACACCTGTTAACCTGTCATATACAACAATACCTATAGCTGTAAGTCTGATATACACCTGTTAACCTGTCATATACAACAATACCTATAGCTGTAAGTCTGATATACACCTGTGAACATGTCATATACAACAATACCTATAGCTGTAAGTCTGATATACACCTGTGACCCTGTTATATACAACAATACCTATAGCTGTAAGCCTGATATACTCCTGTGAACCTGTCATATACACCAATACCTATAGCTGTAAGTCTGATATACTCCTGTGAACCTGTCATATACACCAATACCTATAGCTGTAAGTCTGATATACTCTTGTGAACCTGTAATATACAACAATACCTATAGCTGTAAGCCTGATATACTCATGTGAACCTGTAATATACAACAATACCAATAGCTGTAAGTCTGATATACTCCTGTGAACCTGTAATATACAACAATACCTATAGCTGTAAGTCTGTTATACTCCTGTGAACCTGGAATATACAACAATACCTTTAGCTGTAAGTCTGGTATACTCCTGTGAACCTGTAATATACAACAACACCTATAGCTGTAAGTCTGATATACTCCTGTCAACCTGGAATATACAACAATACCTATAGCTGTAAGTCTGATATACACCTGTGAACCTGTAATATACAACAATACCTATAGCTGTAAGTCTGACATACTCCTGTGAACCTGTAATATACAACAATACCTATAGCAGTAAGCCTGATATACACCTGTGAACCTGTAATATACAACAATACCTATAGCTGTAAGCCTGATATACTCCTGTGAACCTGTCATATACAACAATACCCATAGCTGTAAGTCTGATATACTCCTGTGAACCTGTAATATACAACACTCCCTATAGCTGTAAGCCTGATATACTCCTGTGAACCTGTCATATACAACAATACCCATAGCTGTAAGTCTGATATACTCCTGTGAACCTGTCATATACAACAATACCTATAGCTGTAAGTCTGATATACACCTGTGAACCTGTTATATACAACAATACCTATAGCTGTAAGTTTGATATACTCCTGTGACCCTGTAATATACAACAATACCTATAGCTGTAAGCCTGATATACACCTGTGAACCTGGAATATACAACAATACCTATAGCTGTAAGTCTGATATACACCTGTGAACCTGTTATATACAACAATACCTATAGCTGTAAGTTTGATATACTCCTGTGACCCTGTAATATACAACAATACCTATAGCTGTAAGCCTGATATTCTCCTGTGAACCTGTAATATACAACAATACCTATAGCCGTAAGTCTGATATACTCCTGTGAACCTGGAATATACAACAATACCTTTAGCTGTAAGTCTGGTATACTCCTGTGAACCTGTAATATACAACAATACCTATAGCTGTAAGTCTAATATACTCCTGTGAACCTGTAATATGCAACAATACCTCCAGGAGTCATTAAGTGGACACTGCAGATAATGACGTTTTTCGTTAATCAAGGGGCTATAACTGGTTGTCAAACTTGGCAGAGTCCTTAATGCGTTGAACCCTGTTAGTAAGTTTGAAGACAATCAGATAATATTTGCGAGAGTAAATGAACTGGGCCGGCAGATAATGACGTTTTTCGTTATTCAAGGGGCCATAACTCCCCCAAGTAAAGTCAAATGAACATCGTTCTTGGCCGAGCCCTTCAGTATTGAACCCTGTGTCCAAGTTTGAAGAAAATCGGTTACCATTTGTTGTAGTTATTGCACAGAAACAAAACCCAGCAGATAACTGCATTTTCCGTTATTCATGGGGCCATAACTCCGCCAAATGGGGTTATAGAACTTGGCCAAGCCCTTTAGGCATTTAACCCTGTGACCAAGTTTGAAGAAAATCGGTTAATATTTGTTGTAGTTATTGCATGGAAACGAAGAGCGGCAGATAATGACATTTTTCTCCGCCAAATGGGGTCTGCTGAAAGTGGTCATCGAACTTGGCTGTACCCTTAAGGCATTTAAGACAATTGATCCCTGTGACCTTGAATATGGGCAAAGGTCATTTATTTGAACAAACTTGATAACCCTTCATCCCAACATCCTTCTGACCTATCATCACCCTGGACCTTTTGGTTATACAGAAGAAGTTGATTAAAGGTTTTTAAGACAATTGACCCCTGTGACCTTGAATATGGGCGAAGGTCATTCATTTGAACAAACTTGGTAGCCCTTCATCCACACATGCTACTGGCTAAATATCATCACCCTGCGGCTTTTGGTAATTCAGAAGAAGTCATTAAAAGGTTTTTAAGACAACTGACCCCTGTGACCTTGAATATGGGTGAAGGTCATTCATTACAACAAATTTGGTAGCGCTTAATGCCAACATCTTTCTGGCCAAATATCATCACCCTGGACTTTTTGGTTATACAGAAAAAGTCATTTAAAGGTTTTTAAGAAATTGACCCCTGTGACCTTGAATATTGGCAAAGGTCTTTCATTTGAACAAACTTGATAACCCTTCATCCCAACATCCTTTCTTGCCAAATATCATCACCCTGGACATTTTGGATATTCAGAAGAAGTTGTTTAAATATTTCAACATATTTGACCCCTGTGACCTTGAATATGTGTGAAGGTCATTCATTTGAACAAACTAGGTAGTGCTTTATCCCAGCATGTTATTGACGAAATATCATCATCCTGGGCCTTCTGGTTATTCAGAAGTTCTTTAAAGATTTTAACATATTTGACCCCTGTGACCTTGAAAATAAGCAAAGGTCATTCATTGAAACCATATTGGTAGCTCTTTATCCCAGCATGCTACTGGCCAAATATCATCAGCCTGGGTCTCTTGGTTATTCAGAAAAAGTCGTTTAAAGTAAAAAGTATAAGACGGCCAGGTATCACTACTCTATCAGTATAACACTGATAGATGTCCTTTGTAACAGGATTACTACATGTGTCTATGAGCTTATAAGCAGACTTACCTCGTTATGACCAGATACATCTGTTATAGTGGCAGTCTTCACTATGGGTTGATCTATCCCCTCTATCATCACCCAGTTCCCAGCAGGCACTCGGTTTACCTCTACTTTGTACCTGTAGCAATACATATTAAATGTACATTTGATACACCTCACATTGTACCAACAACACACTTTTTGTTCACCTCAATCTTGTATATATAGCACACATGCTAATTTATCCCTATGAGGCCATTCAGGTCTGTGTGTATATTTTGAATGGATGGTTATAGTTGTGAGTTGTCATATGGTTTACATTCTACAAAATCAGTTGTCATATTCTGTAATTCTGTGCCATCAGTTGTCATATTCTGTAATTCTGTGCCATCAGTTGTCATATTCTGTAATTATGTGCCATCAGTTGTCATATTCTGTAATTCTGTGCCATCAGTTGTCATATTCTGTAATTCTGTGCCATCAGTTGTCATATTCTGTAATTCTGTGTCATCAGTTGTCATAAAATGTCACTACAGTACACCATCATTTGTCATAATATACAGGAGGTCCAATTATGGGCCTGCATCGTTCACCTGGAATAAATCTCACACTAGTAACCTTAAAAGTGATCTAAAACAAAGTTTCAAGCAAAATATCAGTATTTATGATTAAAAGTCATTTAAAAGAACCTGTTAAAAGATTTTAAAACATTTCACCCTTTGACCTTGAAAGTCGAACAAGGTCATTATGTTTAACAGATTTTATAGCCCTTCATTTCAGGATGCAACTTGAAAAATATCACCACTCTATCCTTTTGTTTATTAAAATTAGGTCATTTAAATATTTAAACATATTTGACCAAATGTGGCATTGAAAGTAAGTCAAGGTCATTCACATGGAAAAGCTTGAAAGCCCTTCATCCAAGCATGCTACTGGCAAAATATCAATATTCTGGGCCTTATTGTTATTCAGAAGAGGTCGTTTAAAGATATTTTTACAAATTTGACCCCATCTGACCTTGAATATAAGTCAAGGTCATTCATTTAAACAAACTTGGTAGCCCTTGATCACAGCATAATAATGACCAGATATCAACATTCTTGGCCTTATGGTTATTCAGAAGATGTTTAAAGATTTTAACATATTTGACCCCATGTGACCTTGAAAATAATTCAAGGTCATTCATTTAAACAAACTTGGTTGCCCTTCATCTCAGCTTGCTACTGACCAAGTATCACCATACTGGTCCTTTTGATTATTCAGAAGAAGTTTATTTTAGATTTTTTAAGACAATTGACCCCAGTGACCTTGAATATAAGTGAAGGTAATTTATTTGAACAAACTTGGTAGCCATTTATCCCAGCATGCTTCTGGCAAAATATCATCACCCTGGGCATTTTGGTTATTAAGTTGTTTAGAGTAAAATATTGACGCTGGACAGACCATAGACGCCACACCAAAACATAAGTTCACCTGGGCTAATAATCTAAACCATCAGTTGTCATAATATGTATCTACATCATCAGTTGTCATATTCTGTAATTCTACATCATCAGTTGTCATATTCTGTAGCTACACCATCAGTTGTCATAATCTGTAATTCTACACCATCAGTTGTCATAATCTGTAATTCTACCCCATCAGTTGTCATATTCTGTAATTCTACACCATCAGTTGTCATAATATGTAATTCTACACCATCAGTTGTCATAATCTGTAATTCTACACCATCAGTTGTCATAATCTGTAGCTACACCATCAGTTGTCATAATCTGTAGTTACACCATCAGATGTCAATAATCTGTAGTTACACCATCAGATGTCATAATCTGTAATTTTACACCATCAGTTGTCATAATCTGTAATTCTTCACCATCATTGTGTCAAAATTAAGTACCTATACCCTACAAATACACCATCAGAATGTGAGCGGCCCTTTGATGGTTTCTCTTGTATATTTTTTGGACACCAGTTGTTATAAAGATTGACTGTTTTAAAACCCAGGTCCTATGGGACAGATATTGTACCTGGCTTCGGAAATCCACAGCCTGCCAACCTGACCAAACCGTGAGTCTTCCTCGTCCTGGAGTGAGTAGTTCTCGCCGAGAATCTTTACCTCCTGGTTAGCATACAGTGTGCCACTGATTACACGTCCATACACGTGGAAACTTGTGGCATCCTGAGTAGGAAACAGTTTGGTTGTGTGCACCATCAGTGGGCTCTGAAAACACCATTATAAAGTTATAAAAGTCCACTGCTAATACAGACAAGTGACTACTTCATACTTCATTGTAGAAAGCTACCAATATCAATGATAATCCTCTGGAGACCTTTAAGGCAAAGTTCCCACAGCAAACATTGTATCACTGGAGTATTTCAAGTGAGATATGCCTTCACAAGGAATGAAAGAAAAGTGCTTTAACGATATAGCCTGCACATCTTCATTGACTTAGAAAATTAAAGTAGCTACGATCACTTTAAGAATTCGAAATATGTTTCATACCCAAGGGAAATGTGACAAGTTCTGCGTCTTTACCCACTTAAATTCTCAAAATTAGAACAGTAAACAAAAAAAATAATAGTAAAAGGTGCAACTAACTAACAGCCTTTTTTCTCTTGTTGTAAACAAATGACCTTTGAACTTACATCAGGGTCACATGTACACATGACCTCTGCCAGATCCGAGTCACTAGATCCTGTGTAAACATGTTCTATCTTGTTCTTAGCGTTGTCAGCTGGACTGGGCAGATGTTCAACACACATGTCAACAAAACCTGGGGAAAAGATATCTATCTGTTTACAAGCCAATGAGAATAAATGTTTATATAAACAAAACCTGGGGGAGACGATACATATCAACAAAACCTGCGGGAGAAGATACATATCAACAAACCTGGGGGAGAAGATACATATCAACAAAACCTGGGGGAGAAGATATACATATCAACAAAACCTGGGGGAGAAGATATATTTCAACAAAACCTGGGGGAGAAGATACATATCAACAAAACCTGGGGGAGAAGATATGTATAATGTAATCAAACCTTGGGGAGTAAATATTTATGTTAACAAGCACTGAGGAGTAAATATTTATGTAAACAAGCACTGGGGCGTAAATATATATGTAAACAAGCACTTGGGCGTAAATATATGTGTACACAAGCACTGGGGAGTAAATATTTATGTAAACAAGCACTGGGGTATAAATATATATGTAAGCAAGCACTGGGGAGTAAATATATATGTAAACAAGCACTGGGGGGTAAATATTTATGTAAACAAGCACTGGGGCGTAAATATTTATGTAAACAAGCACTGGGGCGTAAATATATATGTTAACAAGCACTGGGGAGTAGATATTTATGTTAGCAAGGACTGGGGAATAAATATTTATGTAAACAAGCACTGGGGAATCAATATATATGTAAGCAAGCACTGGGGAGTAAATATTTATGTAAACAAGCACTGGGGCGTAAATATATATGTTAACAAGCACTGGGGAGTAGATATTTATGTTAGCAAGGACTGGGGCATAAATATTTATGTAAACAAGCACTGGGGCGTAAATATTTATGTAAACAAGCACTGGGGCGTAAATATATATGTAAACAACCACTGGGGAGTAAATATTTATGTAAACAAGCACTCGGGCGTAAATATATATGTAAACAAGCTCTGGGGCGTAAATATATATGTAAGCAAGCACTGGGGAGTAAATATTTATGTAAACAAGCACACGGGCGTAAATATATATGTAAACAAGCACTGGGGCGTAAATATTTATGTAAACAAGCACTGGGGCGTAAATATTTATGTAAACGAGCACTGGGGCGTAAATATATATTTAAGCAAGCACTGGGGCGTAAATATATATGTAAGCAAGCCCTGGGGAGTAAATATTTATGTTAGAAAGCACTGGGGCGAAAATATTTGTTAACAAGCACTGGTGAGTAAATATTTATGTTAGCAAGCAGTGGGGCGTAAATATTTATGTTAGCAAGCAGTGGGGCGTAAATATTTATGTTAACAAGCACTGGGGAGTAAATATTTATGTTAGAAAGCACTGGGGCGTAAATATTTGTTAACAAGCACTGGGGAGTAAATATTTATGTTAGCAAGCACTGGGGCGTAAATATTTATGTTAACAAGCACTGGGGAGTAGATATTTATGTTAACAAGCACTGGGGAGAGCAGATATATGTCAACAGTGTTCAGGAGTATCAATTTTTTCTAGACCTTACCTGTAAAATCTCCGAAGAATCTTCGACACACAATACGTAACAAGGGTCGGATATTCAATTTTCTCTCTTCCTTCGTCAATGAGATACCTAGTTCGTCACACAATCTGGGTAAACACTCATCAACATCCCCTACAACCTACAACAACAAAACAATCAATACACTCAGCTTACCCCGCAACAACCTACAACAGCATAACAATCAATACACTCAGCTTCCCCCCAACAACCTACAACAACAAAACAATAAATACACTCAGCTTACCCCCCCACAACCTACAACAGCAAAACAATAAATACTCTCAGCTTACCCCCCAACAACCTACAACAGCAAAACAATAAATACACTCAGTTACCCCCAACAACCTATAACAACAAAACAATAAATACACTCAGCTTACCCCCCAACAACCTACAACAACAAAACAATAAATACACTCAGCTTACCCCCCAACAACCTACAACAGCAAAACAATAAATACACTCAGCTTACCCCCCAACAACCTACAACAACAAAACAATAAATACACTCAGCTTCCCCCCAACAACCTACAACAGCAAAACAATAAATACACTCAGTTACCCCCAATAACCTACAACAACAAAACAATCAATACACTCAGCTTACCCCAAAAACCTACAACAACAAAACAATAAATACACTCAGCTTCCCCCATACAACCTACAACAACAAAACAATTAATACACTCAGCTTACCCCCAATAACCTACAACAACAAAACAATTAATACACTCAGCTTCCCCCATACAACCTACAACAACAAAACAATCAATACACTCAGCTTACCCCCCAACAACCTACAACAGCAAAACAATAAATACACTCAGCTTACCCCCCAACAACCTACAACAACAAAACAATAAATACACTCAGCTTCCCCCCAACAACCTACAACAGCAAAACAATAAATACACTCAGTTACCCCCAATAACCTACAACAACAAAACAATCAATACACTCAGCTTACCCCAAAAACCTACAACAACAAAACAATAAATACACTCAGCTTCCCCCATACAACCTACAACAACAAAACAATTAATACACTCAGCTTACCCCCAATAACCTACAACAACAAAACAATTAATACACTCAGCTTCCCCCATACAACCTACCACACCAAAACAATTAATACCCTCAGCTTACCCCCAACACCCTACAACAGCATAACACTAAATACACACATTCTACTCCCCAACAACCCACAACAGCATAACAATAAATACCCTCAGCTTCCCCCATACAACCTAAAACAACAAAACAATCAAAACACTCAGCTTACCCCCAAAAACCTACAACAGCATAACAATGAATACACTCAGCTTACCCCAAGAACCTACGACAACAAAACAATAAATACTCTCAGCTTCCCCCATACAACCTACCACACCAAAACAATTAATACCCTCACCTCCCCCCATACAACCTACATCAACAAAACAATTAATACACCCAGCTTCCCCCATACAACCTGCAACAACAAAACAATCAATACACTCAGCTTACACCCCAACAACCTACAACACCATAACAATAAATACACCCAGCTTCCCCCATACAACCTACATCAACAAAACAATTAATAGACTCAGCTTCCCCCATACAACCTAAAACAACAAAACAATCAATACACTCATCTTCCCCCCAACAACCTACAACAGCAAAACAAAAAATACACTCAGCTTACGCCCAATAACCTTCAACACCAAAACAATAAATACACTCAACTTACCCCCAACAACCCACAACAGCATAACAATAAACACTCATCAACATCCCCTACAACCTACAACAACAGAACAATTAATACACTCAGCTTTCCCCCAATAACCTTCAAAAGCAAAACAATAAATACCCTCAGCTTCCCCCATACAACCTAAAACAACAAAACAATCAAAACACTCAGCTTACCCCCAAAAACCTACAACAACAAAACAATTAATACACTCAGCTTTCCCCCAATAACCTTCAACAGCAAAACAATAAATCCACTCAGATTACCCCCCACCAACCTACAACAGCATAACAATAAATACACTCAGCTTACCCCCAATAACCTTCAACAGCAAAACAATAAATACACTCAGATTACCCCCCAACAACCTACAATAGCATAACAATAAATACACTCAGCTTACCCCCAACAACCTACAACAGCATAACAATAAATACACTCAGTTTACCCCCCAACAACCTACAACAGCAAAACCATCAATACACTCAGCTTACCCCCCAACAACCTACAACAGCAAAACAATAAATACACTCAGCTTACCCCCAATAACCTACAACAGCATAACAATAAATACACTCAGCTTACCCCCAATAACCTACAACAAGTGCTCTCTGCACCCTTGAAATATGTCAAGGACCAATCGCTAGGCTGATACCTGTCCTCTGAAGATTACAAAGAAGAGACGCCCAACTTTAAAGCCTGTCAATTTATTTTTACTGCTACGTGACCGCGAGATTCTTTTGATGTACATCAAAGGATCGAACTAGTCTTCTTGTCTCATCAACAAGGTGGCGCACCCGGAGCCTTCGTTTTTGCTACGACATATTCCAGGGGTGTAGAGAGCGAAAGTGGGCATAACCCCTTGATATCGAGGATGCTCCCCCCCACCCAACAACAACAACAATAAAACAAGAGGCCCAGGGGTCTTAATAGCTCACCTGGTATTTTATTTTCAATTTAAAACCTGCTGAGTACCATACAGGTTTATCAAAGGAGTACAAGAAGCAAAGTTGCAAGAAGAACTACATGTAAATCTGTTTTGGTGGGGAAGTTACCAAGAAAATGAGTTTCCATGTTATGTCCCAGGGAGGTAGCCTCCAGGGGTTGGTCTGGACCTCTGGGGGGCACATATATACCCTGTTTAAAACTTTTCAGACCTCATTTGGTTTGTACAGAAAGGGACAGATTTTTCTCTATTTCCACTATTGGGCCCCGCTCCTCTGCACGGGGATGGGGGCACATCCTCCATTTATAGATATTAAATTCCCTTTGCCCAAATATGCTCTAGAACAAGTTTGGTTGAAATCCCTTCATCGGTACAAAAGGAAAAGGATCTTTAATGTTTTCCTCTATTTCCCCTAATTGGCCCCACCCATCTACCCCAAAGAAGGGGGCTAACACACCTCAGTTTATACAAAATTGATTCTTTTGTCCCTAAGCATGCTTCAGACTGCATATGGTTTAATTCCCTTCACTTGTACAGTAGGAGAAACATTTTCTTCTATTTCCCCTATTGAGCCCTGCCCCCATGTCTCCAGGGGGGCAACACCCTCTGTTTATACAAATTTGACGCCCCTTTGTCCAAAGATGCTCCAGAACGACTTTGGTCAAACGCTTTAATTGGTTGAAAAGAAAATGATTTTGAAGATTTACCTATTTCCCCTTATTTGGCCCCGTCGCTCTGCCCTTAGGGGAGCCACATCCTCCATTTATACAAAATTAAATTCCCTTTGACCAAAGATGCTCTAGACCATATTATTTAAAGGCATATTGTCAAATTTATCCCTTTTGGCCCTGCCCACCTGTCCCCAGGGGGGTCAGGGACTTCATTTGTTCAATCTTGAATCCCCTTCCCCTAAGGACGCTTCCTGGCCAATTTGGTTGAAATCTGCCCAGTAGTTTCTAAAGAACTAGAACTTGCCCTATAACTTTAATCTGTAGAACTTGCCCAAAAACAAATTAACCTATTCCGAAATACTTGTTTTGGACAAATAATGAGCATATATGGTCCAAATTGCTGCTAAGGAACCTCCTAGCAACTGCTGTAACCATATTACAATGTAAAATTAATAAAAAATTGAGTTAAACACCAAAACACAGCTTGCCCAAAAATGTTAACCAAGTGGGACGGATACGCCATGGGTACTGCTATNCCCCCCCCCCCCCCCCCCCCCCCCTATTCTTCGAATAGACGAGCTAAAAATCAGTCCTACTTACTCTTTCACATTTTAACAGCTTTCTTCATGTTTTCTGAGTATTTTCAATAAAATCATAATTTATGACATCAAAGGAAACTCATTTTTGAGCTACATTTTACTGCTATGTGATTTCCTAAATTGTGTATCTGGCAAGTGATGACTGGATCAATGTAAATTAAGAAGACACCTTTGAAAAGGCAGACAAATGCATTTGATTAATTCTTCAGATTGTCTAGTGCAGCTCAATTTCTCTTTAAATATTAAATAATTTTGTGTCATAATATACTCTGTTACATCTTTGAAAGTAGAAATAAACTTTTAAAAACAGTTAATTCTGTATCAATTAAAAAGTGGTGGTAATTTACATTTTGTAAATAAAGCTTCTCTGGTATTAAATACTATGTACTTTACCTGTGAGAATAGTTTATATAATGGTTCCAGGACAAACTCCACGAAACCTCTCTGGTATTAAATACTATGTACTTTACCTGCGAGAATAGTTTATACAAGAGGCCCAATGGGCCTGCATCGCTCACTTGGTATTAATCTCACAATTGTAACCTTAAAAGAGGACTAAAATAAAGCCACAGGCAAAATATTAGCGTCTTGACTTACTGTTTTAAAGATATTTGACTCCAGTGACCTTGAATATAAATCAAGGTCATTTATTTGAACAAACTTTGTAGCCCCTCATCCCAGCATGTTACTGGCCAAATATCATCACCCTATGCCTCTTGGTTATTCAGGTGAAGTTGTTAAAAGAATTTAACATATTTGACCCCTGTGACCTTGAAAATGGATGAAGGTCATTTATTTGAACAAGCTTGGTAGCCCTTCATCCCATCATGCTTCTGGCCAAATATCATCACCCTAGGCATATCGGTTATTCAGAAGAAGCTGTTTAAAGGTTTTAACCATATTTGACCCCTGTGACCTTGAATATAAATCAAGGTCATTTATTTAAACAAACTTGGTAGCCCTTCATCCAAGCATGTTACTGGTCAAATTTAAGCACCCTAGGTCTATTGGTTATTCAGAAGAAGTTGTTTAAATGTTTTAAACATATTGACCCCTGTGACCTTGAATATAAATCAAGGTCATTTATTTGAACAAACTTGGTAGCCCTTCATCCCAGCATGTTACTGGCCAAATATCATCACCCTATGCCTCTTGGTTATTCAGAAGAAGTTGTTTAAAGAATTTAAACATATTTGACCCATGTGACCTCGAATATAAATCAAGGTCATTTATTTGAACAAACTTGGTAGCCCTTCATCCCAGCATATTACTGGCCAAATATCATCACCCTAGGCCTCTCAGTTATTCAGAGGAAGTCGTTTAAAGGTTTTAAACATATTTGACTCCAGTGACCTTGAATATAAATCAAGGTCATTTATTTGAACAAACTTGGTAGCCCTTCATCCCAGCATGTTACTGGCCAAATATCATCACCCTATGCCTCTTGGTTATTCAGAAGAAGTTGTTTAAAGAATTTAACATATTTGACCCCTGTGACCTTGAAAATGGATGAAGGTCATTTATTTGAACAAACATGGTAGCCCTTCATCCAAGCATACTTCTGGCCAAATATCATCACCCTAGGCCTTTTGGTTACTGAGAAGAAGTTGTTTAAAGTAAAAGTCGACGCCGGACGGACGCCGCACCATGCCATCGGCCTTCGGGCCAGGTGAGCTAATAATGGTTCCAGGACTCTTTGGTATTAAATACTATGTACTTTACCTGTGAGAATAGTTTATATAATGGTTCCAGGACAAACTCCACAAAGCTTCTCTGACATGTGCTGTGTGGCGGCTTCTTGGTGAATTTCCTCCTGTGTAAAACAAATCACAATAACTGTTACTAACAATCAAAGCTGACAATACACAACATTTAAACAAAGATAGTACAAGAAAATACGTTGGAAATTGTCATTCTTGTAAAGCATCTATATATAATTTACTCACGTTTTGCTGTTGAAGTACATATCTCCCCACAACCGTCGAGCAAACTCCTTCTCGTTGATGCCCCCTGAAAACATCAATCACAACTTATCTTATTGATGTAAAACATTACCCCCTTTCAACAGTCATATTAATTTACTAAATTATTCTTAACGAATACAAGTGGCCCATGGGCCTTAACGGTCACCTGACATCCGATTCAAATTAGGACTGTCATCCAGGGGCCAATTCATACTTTTCGTCGGTTCGAGTGACCTTGCTGCATCGTCCATTAATTTTTCCTTGTGAACACAATAACCTCAGTAAATATGAACCGATTTTGATGAAACTTTGTATGCAGCTTTGTGTCAATGAGATCTTGGATGAGTTTGAATACCGGACCAATTTGACCATAACTTACATAGATATTCCCCTTGGTAATTATATTATTGTTGGACCCTGTGAACACGATAACTGAAAAAAATGGGTGTGACTCAAATTTTGACCCAAGGGGTCTGTTTTGAACAAACTTGCTAACTGTATGTCTTCTGTTCTTGGTTAAAAGAAACAAGTAAAAGAGTAAATCAAGGATTTATTAAATAAGGCACATGATTTTAATAGCACCTTGTTAGTAGCAAAAATGTGTCATGAATGAAAACAAGAGGCCCAATGGGCCTGCATCGCTCACCTGGTATAAAACTCACACTTGTAACCTTAAAAGTGATCTAAAATAAAGCTACAGGCAAAATATCAGTATTTATGATTAAAATTCATTCAAAAGACCGTTATTTTTTTTTTAACATTTCACCCCTGTGATTGAAAGTCGAACAAAGTCATTATGTTAAACACATTGTATAGCCTTTCATCTCAGGATGCAACTTGCAAAGTATAAACATCCTGGGACCCATGGTTATTCAGAAGAGGTTGTTTAAAGATTTTAAACAAATTTGACCCCTGTGACCTTGAATATAAGTCAAAGTCATTCACTTTAACAAACATAGTAGTCCTTGATCCCAGCATATGCTACTAACTAAATATCAACATCCTGAGCCTTTTGGTTATTCAGAACAAGTTGTT